CTACGCCCCCTAAAGGGAACCCTAAACCCTAAACCCTAAACCCCAAACCCCAAACCCTAAACCCTAAACCCTAAACCCATAGCGTAGCGAGAGTGTACCACAGTGGAGTGACTGCGTGGCAGCGCACGCGTAACTGTGAAATCAGGCCCGCCATCTGTGACCCCGACCTTGTTAGGGTTTCGGCCTTGTAGTTAGTGTTTAGGGGTAAGTTACTTGTTTTTGGGGAAGCAAACACGGTGGTGTTGACTTCGTATTTGAGTAAGTAACCTTTGACCCTGCTGGGTAGTATGAGCCCTGTATTTCCTTAAGTAGAAGCCCTCAATTCCCCGTGGAAGTGCGCAAGGGCCAAGAGAAGCTAAATCCTGAGCCCTAAACCCTGTTTGAAGTTTATAACATGTTATAACTGCGGTTCGACTCCTACTTATAACCTACAGGTTGCCCCAATTACAAGTTGGCTTGCAAGCTCAATCACAACTAGGTAGTATGTCTCATGAACCTTCAGAAGTATTGTCCGCGTACCTAGTTAGTAGCTTTGGCCACCCTTAGCCGTGCACCCTAACCCTGAAGTAAACCAGAGGAGGCTCTCATACTGCCTGCAGATTGAGAACCCCCGGGGCTTTTGTAGGAGTTGCGGGGCCCTTGTCGCCCTTTGCAGCAGAAAGTCTTGCATGTGTAGCCCTTAGCACCTTTTCAGAAAACCATCCAGAGGAGGAGATCAAGCAGTTAGGCGCTGAAGAAAGCCTAAATACAAGAGCCTGTATGATGACAGATACCCCCCCCCCCCCCAACAAATGACAAATCATAATAGATAAACGCAAAGACATAAAAAATGCAGGGGGACCGACTCTACAGCCCAAACCTAAACCCTAAACCCTAAACCCTAGACTTAAGCCCTGAGACTTAAACCGATCTCAAAGCCCCCTTTTCTTTCAATCCCATATCCTAAGGGCCTAAGTCTTTGCTGGGGCCATCAAGCACCTCCTGTTTTGTAGCTTTAGGGGCCCAGGTAACGGGGGTTTCCGATATTAGGGGTACTTATTGGGGTCCCGATTGTTCGGGAATCCTGCTATATTTGGGGACTTAGTAGGGTCCCATATTTTCGTAAACCCCCCCATTTTGGTACATGGACCCTTAAGGAAATCCTAAACCCCACGCCCTGCAACCCCAAAACCCTCGGGGGAATCCTCAACCGGCCATGGCACATGGCCTGGGATGTCGACTCGGGCGTCCTCGACGCCTCGAGGGCTGTCGCTGGCTTTGGAAGGCACCCATGGGGTTTAGGGTTTAGGGTTTCGGGTTTCGGGATAAAGCAGTAAGACCCTGGGACCGGAAATCCTAAACCCTAAGCCCTGAAAAATGCGCCTCGATACCTTATTAAAGTTCAAAGAGGAGTAGGCAGTCACGTGCGGGGGGGGGGGGGGGGGCACCATCTGGTGGCTGTAGGAAGAGTATGCAAAGCCTGGTTTGCTTGCAGAGATCTTCGAGAGGGGATTGGCTGAGGCGACGTTTCATGGACGGAACAGAGCACGATCAAGTGCGCAGAAGCTGGTCAGCCAGCGCAACCGTCGTGTGCAACGTGAAGAGACAGCACGTGCAGCCAGCAGCCATGAGCACGAGACCTATGTCCGTGAGCTTGCCCAGATCTTCCGCAGGCTCTGAGTGGGTACTCGCATTGTTGACGACGTGGTCCGGGTCTTGGGCGCCGCTTCGCTTTGTCCTTCTCGGCATGTAGAAATCGAGAACTGTTGGGGTGCTCATCGCATTTTGTGTGTACCCTGAACCCTAAACCCTGAACCCTAAACCCTAAGCCGTAAGCCCTGAACCCTAAACCCGCGTTTTGGGTGTAGGCTCGAACGATACGGCTCGGGGGTTGGCACAGATGTGCATCTCTTAGGCTCGGCATGCCAGACAATGGACAGGAAACTCAACATGAACTTGGCGGTTTAGGGTTTAGGGTTTAGGGTTTAGGGTTTAGGGTTCAGGGTTCAGGGTTTAGAGTTCAAGGTTTTGTTCGCGCCGCAAACCATTACAAACCTTGCTTCCTCCGCAACGTGAACTCGATGAAATCCCTTCTGTCCGTTGAGCACCAATGGTGACTTCTCATTGGCACAAACCCCCCCAGCAACCTCAACGAGACGTTCCTCTAACATGCGTGTTGCCGTTCTGTTCTGTTTGCCTAGGCCTCGTCCCTGGATTCGCAAGCAAGTCCAAAGAAAGCCCAGGATTCTTGTACTATGAGCTCAGGGCATAGAAGCCAAGACCCTAAACCCTGGGGGTATTTAAGAGACGTATTTATTTGGTGTAAAATTCACCCCATGCAGAAAAAACGACAACCCTAAACCCTAAACCCTAAACCCTAAACCCTAAAACCCTAATAAGAACAAAAGTCTCAAAGCCCTAAAGCCTTGAACCCCAAACGCTTCCTTTCGTTTCAGGACCTGGGGATGGGAAAAGGCCCTTCTTTCCGCCATCTCCCTGCCCCGCAGGGCGCAGCCCTTAGCTTGAGGGGTGATGCAGGCAGGGAGGCATGGGGGTTTAGGGTTTAGGGTTTAGGGTTTAGGGTTTAGGGTTTAGGGTTTAGGGTTTAGGGTTTAGGGTTTAGGGTTTAGGGTTTGGGTTTAGGGTTTAGTGGTACTGCCCCCCTCTCTACAACCCCCCCCTCCCCCTTAGGTTCCCCCCCATAATTACGGCGATCTAAGGAAAATTATGCCTAATTAAGGTTGTTTAAGGGGGGAAGAGGGGGTTAGCAGGGAAGCCCATGATTTGTGGGTTTAGGCGCCTCCGGGATTTTCGGGTGGGCTAAGGGGGGATTGCTATCGAGCTGAATCGAGCTATTGTTACAGGGCAGCTCTGCTTGCTTTCTTCTCCAGTGATGGCCTCTTCACTTCACTTCGCGGGCCTCTTGCGCAGCCAAGTCCGGCGAGTCCAACTACCTGCGCGTCTTCGTGGCCAATCATAACTTACTTATGACCCACTTATAAGCCCCTTAAGTCCCCTAACATGGTTATAAAGAAGTACAGCTATTAGTACAGTCATAATGGGCAAATAAGTACCATGAACCTCCAAGTAGAGTCTGGCAACTCCAGTGGTGGCATCCGTGAATGGACGAACGTTCTCTGAGGACTCAGCCACGTCTACTTTGGCATGGGTTTAGGGTTTAGGGTTTACGGTTTAGGGTTTAGGGTTTCGGGTTTAGGGTTTAGGGTTTAATGTTTCGGGTTTTGGATGAGCGGAATGTTCGGAATTTCGAGCCCGGAACATTCACAACCCCTTGGCCCCCCAAAAACTATAAATGTAGATATATATATATATACACACACACGCATATGTAGTTGTATGCATGTGTATATATATATATATATACGCTTATATATATATATACACTTATATATATATATATATATAGACATGTATGTATCACTTGTGCATGCGTTTACGTATATACATCTATGTGCTAACAACCAGTTTCATAACTACACGTGTATTTGTAGAGAGAGAGAGAGAGAGAATGCATGCAAGATTTCAAGCAGCGGCCAGTCTGGGATGCAGTGACATGTCTTGTCGCATGAGATGCCAATTTTCCAAAGCTTGAGCCCCAAAACTCGACCGGCTGAACCAATCCCTTTAGGCTCAAAATAGCCCCAAAACCTGACATAAGAAGGCCTTCGCGCCCAAGAACCGCAAAACAAGAGACCTTAGAGCCGTATAGGGATCGTTTAGACTTTCATGAAATCGTTCGAAGTAGCTTATTATGTACGTCAAGTTGAAGGTTGAAGTCAGGATGACGAAGAGTTACCCCTCTTTGAACCCAGTTAGAACTGCCCGTGGAACTCTAAGTAGCTTTTGGCTTTCAGGCCCGGCGCCCCCTAAACCTATTGGCGCCATGCCCCGATGGGCGGCCTCATCGTTTATCCTTTTGCCGCTTGGTTGCTTCTTGTCACCGGACACACAAGCTTTTGCAGGGGCGCGCAGGGCCCTGAGCGAGAAGATTTTGGAGCTTCGTTTGGGCCTACAGGTTCCGCCCTCTGTGAAGGATGGCCTGTTCAAGAATGATAGCCCTACGAACTTCCTTGTCATAGGCAACTCGGGCGTGGGCAAGAGTGCAATACTGAACTGTTTGATCGGGGACGAGGGCGTGCTGTTCCCGTCCGGAATAAGTATGTGTGAGGGAATGACGAAGGGATGCTGTCCACAGAGGAGGGACCAGCACCGATTCATCGACACACCTGGCATGGGAGACCCAAGCATACCGCCAGAGAGGACTGCAGATGAGATCACCATGGCACTAAAGTTCGATGGGCGCTACAAAGTCATCTTCGTCCTCACGCTTGAGCACGGGCGACTCGATGCTGGGCAATTGGCCACCATGAAGCTCGTCCTCGATGCTGCCCCCATCAAGAAATACGGCGTGCTCCTGAATCAGCTGACGGGCCCTGTGTACGAGAAGTTGAGCCAGAAGCATGAGTTTGAGCGCCTGATCGAAATCATCAATATGAACATGCCAAAAGGAAAGACAGCAAGGAACCCGCGCTTTGTACAGCTGATGCACGAGGACCTCCTGCTGCGAGATGCAACGAACAAAGTGGTGAATCTGCCGGAAGAGGTGGTCAGGTTCCTCGGTAGGCCGCTGGAACATTTTGTACGTTCCCTTATTGGGTTTTTAAGAGGATCACATTTAAGAATATTATTTCAAGAATACTATTTAAGAATATTATTTAAGAATATTATTTAAGGATATTATTTAAGAATATGTTCCAGAGGAATTTACGGGCCAGCCTAGGTTCATACAAGCTGTTCCTGGTGTACACCTCGCCAAAAAGAGGGTGGAGGCTGTGAGGACCAACTTGTGGGACAAGGAGAAGCAAGCCATGCAGACAAGGTTGCAGAAGATCGATGACCGGCTCAGCTGGGTGAGAATGTGGGTCGTGCGGATTTCCTTTGCAGTGCTTGTAAAATCCGGCTTGAGAAGACTTCGGCGAAAACTTGACCCGTTCTATTAATTCGAAACCTTTAAGGCAGGCACATGGCCTCCGTCGCATGCGACGAAATAGTTGCAGGGGAGCCTGCAGGAGGCTTATGTTTTGCTAGCGGCATAGCATGTTCTAATGCCGTGTAGTAAGTACAGCATTTCGAGTTTCGATGTCATCGCGCGTTTTTCCAGCAAGTTCTCAGGCAACTGTCTCTTCTGTTATGCCAATCTTGTTTTCCGCCTTACAATTTGTCGGTGGGCCTACGGCTTCCATCCACCATGCAGCCCGATTTCAAGACTGGGCTGAGGGTTTAGGGTTTAGGGTTTAGGGTTTAGGGTTTAGGGTTTAGGGTTTAGGGTTTAGGGTTAGCCAGCCTCCACAAGTCTCCACGAGGAGAGTCCGGTGGGCGAGGATTTGTTGTTGACGGAAGGTGCCGCTGGAGGGTTCACGGGACTTACCAACTGGGTCGAATTGGGGTACTATACTTTAATATTTTTTGTTGTTTCCGGGCTCCTGTTATAGCTACTTATACCTAAAAAGGTAGATACTTTTTTCCAGGGTCTACTCCAAAGTAGGGGGTTCGAATTGGGATTATCATCCAACTCTGTAGTTGCAACCAACTAGTAAGTCCCCTAACCTTCAAGCAGCAATTGTACAGAGGACATCGAAGAAAATTCTCGCTTCAACCCATATAGGGAATCTTAGTTTGATCTTTCGCAGTATGCTAAGGAGGGCAGCATTAATTTTGGTTACCTTTTCGAGCTCCCTCCTGTAAAAGGAATAGAAGCGGTCACTCATAACCCTAAACTGTACGAAGCCCCAGCCCTACGTACATCGCAGAAGCCTGCGTGGTACGAACATAGGGTCACTAAACCTTGGACCCTAAACCCTAAACCCTAAACCTTAAACCCTAAACCCTAAACCCTAAACCCTAAACCCTAAACCACATTGGGTGGTCGTCTGCAGAGGCCCTGAAGCCCGACGCGATCTTTTTCAACGGCGTACTAACCGTATGCAGCAAGGCGCGGAGCCTCCGCTTTAGGGATAGGGTTTAGGGTTTAGGGTTTAGGGTTTAGGGTTTAGGGTTTAGGGTTTAGGGTTTAGGGCTTCGGGTTTAGGGTTTAGGGCTTAGGGCTTGGGGCTTGGGGCTTGGGGCTTGGGGCTTACACGGTGGTCCATCTCTGACTTGGCTTATGTCTACAGCATGGGGCCTCTTGCGAGTTAAATGCAAGGCGGCGCAGACAGAGAGGAACCGGCTTTAGAGTTGGGGGTCCAATGTGGGGGTTTCCGAGAATAGGGGCACCTTTTTTGGGATAAAGGGGGTACCCCTTTAGGGGTTAGGGTTTAGGATCAAGGGTTTGAAAGTTTAGTGTTTAGGGTTTAGGGGACACCGGAGGAGTTGAATGGGATTGGCTACTTGGTGATTTTGACGGGTGTGTCGCCCTTGCAGTTAGGCTGCGGCAACTGAAGCTGTAGGGGTCCAGGGTTTGGGCTTTCGTGTCTACGGTTCGGTTTCCAGAAGGCGCACGCAAGATAAAGGTAGGTCGCGAGGCTAGATTTACTCTAGTATGTTGAGGTGGGCCTCTTCCACTGCATGCAGAATGCTGTGGGAGTTCTTTTTTTTGGTGAACGGGTTTAGGCTTTTCAAGTGTTGAAACCTAAACCCTAAACCCTAAACCCTAAACCCTTGAAGATGAAGAATTGCAGGGTTCGTAGATTCAAACTTGCCAGGGCCGGAACATGCCTTCAGGGTTGAAAGATCTATGCTTGGGCTTTAAGGATGTGGGTTGAGGGTTTGGGCCCTAAACCCTAAACCCTAAGCGCTAAACCCTAAACCCTAAACCCTAAACCCTAAAGGCCCTAAACCCTAAGCCCTCAACCCTGGGGGCATTTCGGGGGGCTTCAGAGCCCACAGTCAAAAACCGCAGTCCACAGGAGGGAGTTGTCCCCAAAACCCTAAACCCTAGACCCTAAACATGGATACCTATATTCCCTATACCTTTTTTCTAGGGTTCTTAAGGTGGGGGGGGGGAGGTTCGGGGGGGGGGGGGGGGGGATACCTAGGAAACCCTAAACCCGAAACCCGAAACCCTAAACCCTAAACCTAAACCCTACAGGCCCCATTCTCTCAAACCTTCTCCGCTGCCAGCCTGGCTCAGGCCGGTCGCTGGATCCAGCCCCTGGAGCAGCACCTATATCCCTGGGTTTAGGGTTTAGGGTTTAGGGTTTACGGTTTAGGGTTTAGGGTTTAGGGTTGTATACAACCCGAGAGGATATTAAAAACACTGTTTTTGTTCAGGTTCTGAGGGGGGTATAGGCACCAGTGTGGCCATACCTACTTGGGAGCCCAGTGGTACCCTTTTTGCCCTTTTGGGTTCTAGGTTTAGGGTTTAGGGTTTAGGGTTTAGGGTTCTTGATAAAGATGACAAATCCCCAAAGGGAGCCCTTATCACAATAGAATTTCCGGGCTACCAGCTAAAAGAGCCGCCTATGCATTTCCAAACACAGGAAGTGTGTTGGTACATCTCCCCTGTGTTATCGGCTACTCCAGCTAATCCCGCAAGCACGAAACCAAGAATCCACCATTTGCTTCAGAACCCCCCCCCCCCCACAACAAAAATATAAAACACAAATAATCCCTATATTTCCCGTATAAGGTTTTTTTTTTGGGGGGGGGGTTCTTGAGCAATTGGTAGGAAGAAAGGTGTAGGGTGTAGCCGTGGGGATGGGTCAAGGAAGCGAACAGCCCCGACTTCCCACATCAACCCTAAAGGTCTGCATGGGTTGGTGGTCTCTTTAAGTAGGGTTTCTGTTTCGTAGGGGGGGGGGGTTCTTACTAGGGTGTTCAGGGGCCATATTAAGGTATACGGGTAACAGATAAAGAGGCCACCGGCCTTTTTATATTCCATGTACCTAAATAGGGAGTACCTGGGCCTTAAAGTACCTCCTATGTAGAGACGTTAAGGCCCAAGTATTCCCTACTTAGGTACATGGACCCTTAGGGCAACAGCGAATTCAAAGCTGCCCCTAAACTTTGCCCAAATGACTTTGGCAATGATTCCGGTACATCCCTGTAGGTTCCAGGGCCAAAAAGCAATTTAGGCCGCCCAAGACAGTAGCGAAGCAATTTGTGGATTCACCTGGACCCTGAATTCTAGTCCTCTTTTGGGGTGGGTGGGGGTGTGCGTCCTCTTGATAAAATGTTTTTGCTATCCCATGAACCGGGACTCGGAGTAGGCCCGTATTTTTTTTTAGGGTTCAGGTTCCCTATAAATTCATTTAAACCAGAAAGGGTACCCCTTTTATTCCTGTAGGTTACTCTTGGGTCTAGCCCTAAACCCTAAAGCTCTAAACCCTAAACCAACCCCCTTGGAATTCAGAGTCTAGGCAGCATTCAACAGGTTCACACGCTCACAGAGACAAGAGACAGACAGGAACTGGCGAACAGTAAGAATAACTTTTATAAGAATACCCCTAAACCCTAAACCTTACACCTGGAACCCTAAACCCTAAACCCTAAGCCCCCAAATGCACGCTCAGGTTCTCGGCTCTCTTGGCCGAGCTCCACGTGCGGGCCTTGCAGCCGACGCCAGTGACGCAGGTGACCCCTAAGGGTTTTAGGGTAGGGTTCAGAGTTTAGGGATTAGGGTTTCAGGGTTCCGGGTTTAGGGAAGGGATTTTATAGGGTACTACGGCTTAAAGAATTTAGGGGTTAGGGTTTAGGGGTTTAGGGTTTGGGGTAACTTGAATACCCACCCACCCTGCTCAGACTCAGTGGGGGGGTGTCAAAGGCGCCCGGGCTGAATGACGGCGCCTGGAAAACTTGGCTGTCTAGACTCTCGCGGCCGGAACGGCCGCCCCATGCACACACCTCACCCCTCAACACCTACCTCCTGAACCTTAAGCCCTATACCTTGGGATGTAAATACTGGCAGTCCGTAATATGGGTGAGAGTACCCCCTATTATGCTCCCAAGAAAGGACTGTTAGTATACGGGGGAACGCCCTGAACCCTCTTCTGAAACGAACCCCTCACCTGATTGGAAGTTCATCGGCAGTCATATTATAAAGGCCTCAACAGACACCGACAAGGGTTATAGGGCTTAGGGTTTAGAGCTTAGGGCGGAGGGTTCAAAACCCTAAGCCCCAAAACCCCGCAACCTACGGTGTATCGTAAACAATACGGTTTCTGATTCTGGTAGGTTCGTTCAAGTTCGTTGACAGCAACCCTCATTTTCCAAAACCCTATCACCAAGGGCCCATGGGCCGAAACAGGGAATCCTACTGCCTTAAGGTCCCTAACTAGGAGGTACTTTAAGGCCCAAGCGCCCCGTACTTAGGTACGTATGAACCCTTAGGGCTCAGTCTCCCCAAACCCTAAACCCTAAACCCTAAACCCTGAACCCTAAACCATAAACCCTAAACCTTAACACCAAGAAGCCCCAAGACCAAGAAAGAGAAAGGAGAATGGAGAAAGGATAATGGAGAAAGGAGAAAGTGTGGTTTTGCAAGGTACGGCCGAAGTCTGGTCACTATCCCCAGAAAGGGTTCGTCGACCTCCTCACGTCCGGCATGTTCTGGGACCACCTGGAAGAGACTCTAAACCCTAAACCCTAAACCCTAACCCTAAACCCTAAACGTTTGTATACATCGACTCAGCCCGGGACAGATAGCTGGAGCCTCTCCCGGCAAAGCTCCAATGTCGTTGAATGCACACACCCAATCCTAAAGCCACAAAGCCTCAAGCCTACTGAACCCTAAGCCCTAAACTTCAAACCCTAAACCCTACACCTTGAACCCTAAACCCTAAACCCTGAACCCTGAGCCCTAAACCCAAAAACCCCAAACCCCAAACCCTAAACCCTGAACCCTAAACCCTAAACCCTAAGCCCTAAGCCCTAAACCCTAAACCCTACACCCTAAACCCTAGACCCTAAACCCTAAACCCTAAACCCTATGCTGGCAGGTCCTCTGCGCCGACCTCGAGGCTCGGCGCGGGCAGTGGCACCGGGCGCTTGCGCAGCTCTCTGC